AATAGTATTTTAATGCCACTGGTAAGAAGTCATATGGATTATTTTTAATAGGTCTTTTTTCTCCGTCTAGAAAGTGTCAGGAGATCATTCTGTTCCTGTATGGATAACGTTATCTCAGCCACCTGTTTTCAGAATAAGCAGGGTTTGTTTCAGACAAAAAACTAATTTGTATCTAGATCCTCTCTATTGAAAAATCCTCTTTTTTATAAACTCTTAGAAGTTGCTCCAATTTTATTTCGTAGGCTGCTGACAAGCTCATATCAACAGTTAAGTTTTCTCAGTATCTTTTCTTCATTAAACTTGATTTAAGAAATAATGAAATTCCTTTATCTTCCCTTAATAAGTATAAATGATGTAAAGGTTAAAGCCCTTAGTGATCCGTATTGGACTCTAGTATATAGTTTAAAAAAATCAAAATCCCATACAACTCAAGGCTATGGCAGGCTCACGTTGAGATTTAGACTAGTTCTGTCAGTTGTTCTGTGAAAATTTTCTGATTTTTCTTCAAGAGAAAAGATTTTTCAACTGGTCTAAAATACATTCATTTTACTTTCAAAGAACAAGAATGAAGAATTTTATGTTTAACAACTTTAAAATGAGAATAGATGCATTTCTTTCTATCCTGTGTGCTACTAGTGTGCTAGCTTGTTGGGATGCTCTTTCAGGAGTTCAAAACAAAAATTAAGTCCAGGAATTACATTATTGAACTTTCCAGTGTTTTCTGATAACTATGTAAATCTTTGGCAAAGAATATTTAGCAGATGTGTGTGCTTCCTTCAGTTACTCTTTTACCTCAAAAAGTAGAGATTTGTTTATTGAATATTGTAGCCTGGATCTTTAAATAAGGCTATTTGCGTGATATTTTGAGGGTTTCAGAACCTTCTGTTCTGAATTAAGTAAGTGGAATACAAGTGAAGGGAGTTTAAAATAACAACTCCGTGAGATTAATTTAAAGAAGAAAATCAACATTCACATTAGAAAATGTAATAACTTTGTTAATGCTATCTAAAGAGCAGTCATTTAATTACTGTTTAACTGAAACTATATGGATAATGTAATTGTCTGAGCAACCTTACTTTTGGCATTTTCTCTTTCATATTTTTATTATCACCTTTACAGTTATTGTGAAGAATTTCTACTCAGATGTATCACAACATTATGCTTAATAAATAGATTAAGGTTTTAGCTCAGTAGTATGTATCCTATACTTGAAGATACGCATGGTCCTCACATGGGGGAGGGAAAGTTTGGAGCAGATAAAGTATGTGTCAGCAGTGGTACTCGATATTCTGAAGAAGTATTAGAAGATCCGTGTGTGGTTGGTCGTCTCATGACTTAGAGACTGGAAGTTGGTTTATATGGAATCAGCACAATATATTGGATTTTTAGAAATGCTGAACAGGCTTCCCCATAAATGTGGATTGGTCAGATCCAGCAAGAGTTATGTGCTGGCCATTCATCATTGTAGCACTAGTGATGGAGTGAAAAATGGAGTCATCCTCCTCAGGGTTCAAGTGCTTCAATTCACATCTTACTTGGAAAGCCTTGGTCTGGCAGCCTGGGGGAAAGTTGCATTGAAACTTTAATATCAATTCAAGAAAATCAGAAAGAAAGGGAAAATTGAGAGAAAATAATGCTCTTCAGCTGTGTTCTGACCACACACTGGTTAGGTCCCAGGACTTTTTTGCTCAAATAGGACTTTGTGACATGGGTGGAGTCATCCCTCTAACAGACTGTAACGACAAAGGATAATTCTTATTAGTATACTTGAAAACGTGACTGATAGTGAAAATAGCGTAAGAGACTACAGTAGGTATGGCCATAATATCTGTTACATCTTTAACTTTTGCAGTAACCATTCTTAGACATTATAGTAGTGTTTATAGTGCTGCTCTGTGGATTAAAGGAGTTTGCATCTTGGGTTTGTTTAACAGACAGGAGAGCTGTTTGTGCTCTGAAAGACTACAAGCTGAGCAAGTTCTTCCTGTTATTTTATTTACCTTTGGCTAACCAAAAACTGCAGCTGGTTTTCAACACAAGCAATCACATTATCATGTTAAGATGAGCATTAGATATAACAAAAATGATCACCCGCTTTTGACTCTGGCTATTCATAGCACTCAGTCAGCACTTCAGCAGCTTACCAGCCTGACAAGGAATTGCCCCTGGACTAGCACTTTCTTTGGAAGCTCTTGTGTCCTTTTCTGCCACTGTTAGACCCAGTTATTACTATTTGCATTTATAGTACAGTGTTTTCCTTACCCTATCATATTCTCCCTCAAAGATTTTCATGAGTGCTTTTCTTTCCCATTGGAATATGGGAAATATATTTATTTCTAGTACATAGCTATTCTGAAAAGAAAGACTTTGTTCTATCTTAGACATATGGAGGCTCTGCACTCAAGATTAAGCCTGTAATTCTTTTTCTATGGTTCCTCTGCTGCAAATACCGGACTTTTTTTAGATTGTTTGTTTGTTGTGGTTTAGTATCTATCTGTCCAACAGCAAGTGGGATTCAAATGTTATCTCTTCTGGGTTTGTCCTTGTTCTTTGACGGTTGGACTTGATGATCTTAGAGGTCTTTTCCAAGCTTAATGATTCTATGATTCTGTGATTCTTTTCAGAGAACCGAAAGTATTCAGCATCTGTCAATATTTGTGGCCTGCTTAAGATAACAAGGAATTCATGTTTATTCACATCTAGGCAGATCAGGTACAAGTTCCAGGCGGAAACCAAGAGAGATAACTGGGAAAATTTGGTCAGTGCTTCTGGTGAAAATAACCTGGTACTGACCTAGGCACAAGACAGATTTATTCTATTTCCTGTAACCAACAGTGGCCTGTTAGAGGACAGTCAAGTCACTTTGGGAGGTTCTCTGTGTATCATGTTATTTAGTCCTAACCTGTCTGCATGTATGTGGTGGTGTTAGGTGGTGTGTGTTAGGTTTCATTTACAGCTATTATCATGGTGTTATACAAGATAGCATATATTACTTCTAAGCAAAGATATGAATGAAGTAGTCATTATCCTGAGCTGTGTTGTATATGAACTCACTTGGTAGTTAGGCAGTTTAGACTTCAGAGAGAGTGTTCTTCTCAGTCTTATCCCCATTGATGGTGTCTGTTACGGATGCTTGAGAAGTGAGTTGGAGTACCCATTTGAATCTCTCTGAATCATGTTACCTCCAAGGGATTTCTAAGTTTTAAATTAATGCTTCAATACTGAGGACTTTCACGTCTTAAAATATTATAGTAAATTCTAAGGAATTCTGGTTGGTCATTACACTCTCTCAATAAGTAGGTAGTATTTCCTCTTATTTCCCATTTGTATGAAGGCACTGAATTTTTGAAAATGGCAGCATCTAATGATATTTTGTCCCATTCCTGTTACTGCAGGACTGGCATTCAATGTTGTCAGATTGTGGCTGGGAGTCATATGTCTGTGTCACATTTAGCTTGTCACATTATTTTCTTAGACCGTATCGTACTAACTTTTTAAGCAAACATATTACCCTGCTGTTCAAGAAACTACACTTCTTACCTATATTGGAATGGTCTTTGTTTTGCTTTAATATCAAGATAGTAATCCTGATTTCCTTTGATCAAGAAAGCCAATGAGATCAATGAACTTATGCAATGAAACTGAATTCTTAATTCATCAAGTCAGTCTTAGAATTCCATTTGATTCAGTCAAGCTGCTTTTCCAGTCATCTTGAAAACATACTACTTTCTGCAAAACAAAATCATACAATATCTCGAGTTGGAAGGGACCCATAAGGATCATCGAGTCCAACTGCCTGTTCCTCGCAGGACTACCTGACACTGAACCATATGACCAAG